ACCCCCCCCCCCCCAAAGAACGTCCGAGGGTTAGTCTAAGTATAGGTTTTACGGCACATGATGTAGGAAGGGAAAGTTGAAAACACAAAAACTGTGCCTTACGAAAAGCTTCGGTTACCACTGACTGCCGAGTCCACGACCGCCATCATTTTGCACAATTGCCGTGAGAAGATCAAAACGCTGCATGGATTAACGGGATAGACTCAGCTACTCTGGGCTGGGTAGATCCTGGCAAAGGGTCTAAAGGTACCCTGAACATAACAAAACATAGCATACCAAACAAAGCGAGCATAATGGCGATAAAAAGGATGGAAATCAGTAGAGCAGCTTTAGCAATATGCAAAACTTGCTCTACCCCATCTAATATACCCCCATCATAATTTCCTACCCTATATTTGCGCTTTTATTTCTTCTTAAAACTCGGCCATCACTCTATTTCACTCTGCGCTGTGTTTGCTAGTTCTGCCTCGGACGCTGACAAATTTAAGTTTCCCATGTCGGTACTCGGCAAAATAACCAAAGCTTTAATAAGCATTACGCAAACAGGTAATTAATTAATTTATTATGTAATTGTGTAATCATTTATTTCATTCAGAATTAATTTATTTAGTAAATTAATACCTCTAAATAATCAATTATGTAAAGCAAGCAAGAAGGTGGGAAAGTCTATTATAATCTTCTGTAAGTAATATAGTGTGATAGTGATATTCAAAAACGGGCCCGTTAGGATTTATGTGTCAATATACGCACAATTGTAAAAGCTGAGCGAAGCATTCAACGTAGAATTGTGTTTACCAGCGGTAAGAGTGAAGGATTTTCTAACGCAACTGCTTAATTGTGCTGATCTTTATCGGAAATAATGATAATAGTAGTTAAGAAAGGGTTGCGCTCTTAATACTTCCATCGCACAGCACTAATTCTCTTCGGGAAAATAACAAAGTTATCGTTAGGTTATTGCTTCACGATTACGACACAACACTGCGTGCTTCGCTCAAAGACAGGGTGACGCCGGGTGTCGTACAACAGAATAAAAGTATACATACTACTGTAAATACCATGTAGCTATTGTTGTATCTCAATAAAAGAACCTGAAAGAAAACCAATGATCCTTTACATGTGTTCTTTGCGTTTAGTGTCTTGATTAGCAGGAAACCGCTGTCTGTCTTCAACAAGTCAACTGAATGAAACACAAACCAAACCAATCAAGAGAGAGAAAGTGACCGCCATGTATTTTACAAGTAATGCTAGCCAAACAGTGTAACAGCTGTACACGCTGTGAATTCCGGACTCCAGGTACTGGATTCAGGATTCGTTGTCGTAGAACTCGAATTTTGAATTCCAATCGTCAGCGGGATTTTGGATCCCAAGAGCTGAACTAATGACAACGAACTAAACAGTCTTATATTATTTCAGTCAAAGGTAAATTGACGCAAAAAAGAATATTTCTGCATTTCCGTGTGAACTCTGTCTTTCTGCTCCTTAGTCCATACAACTGTGTTTCTTGTATCAGAAGGCTTCTTATAGAGTATCCTTTCCACTTGAGCAAGGTAGTGTTCTTCACACGAAACGCTAAGGAAACCGCATATCGTTTGCAAGGTTTCCATTGGCTTAAACAACAGCTCGTCGCTCACGACATCTAAAACAGCATTTCCGTAAAGTTGCTTGATTCTCTCATTGGTGTCAGTTAACTGGAAGTATGAGGTAATGAACTTGTCCAGAGCCTGAGGTTTGTTGATCTAATTCATAGAAAAAAGAGAAAATAGCTCAACTTCCCAAAATGAAAGTTGATAAGAAGGAGGATTTCCCCTCAGCGCTAGCAAAGGTCTCTTACGGCCGAAAGGAAGGAATGAGATCTGGCCCCAGTTTTTCAAAGGAGGATACCGCTATTATATTCACCAGATAAATTCCTATTCAGTGGGTAGCGCGTTTCCCTAATAATTATCCGATTGATAATGAGCGCTATCCAATGTTTGAACAACCGGGCAGGTCATATAATCCTTCTGAGAGATCCCCCCTGTAATGGAGGTCAAACGTCGTGGGGCACTTAACACGATACGACTTAAACTGTCTCCCTTCCTTCCTTACCCCCAAGCAATGTTGTATTTTGCACACCCTGTCCACTTTACCCGGTCCTGAAAAGTGTTTGTCTATCCCAACATAGCTTGAAGGGGGAGGGTAGGGCCGTTAGATGCATCCGAACTATTGCAAAGGTGGATACTATGTTACGTTCTTTGCATATTTGATCTTTTGCCGCTATTTAAAGGAAGGTTTTCAATAACTGCAATTGGATTTTTGCAGGATTTTTGGCCTCCGTTGTAGCAGGAAAAGAGAGACCAACAAACTTACAGTGACCTTTGACCTTGATGTTTGCTGCATGTTGTGCAGCCAGTTCAGAAGCTATAACCGGCTGGAATTATGTAAGGAAGGTACCTTTTTTTTCTGAAATCAACGGCAGATAGTAACAGATTAATTACTCTATGATCAGCTGCTTTCAGGTTTTAAAACGTGAATCTTAATTGATCTCAAATAATCCATGAGAAATTTATCTGTAGAGTTATAAGCTAAGGCCTATACTATATGAAATCCACTAGCTTATGTTCTATCCTCTCTTGATTGCTATCAAACGTTTCTCTTTTACCTTAGTTATTCCATCGTTGACTCGAAGTCTTGAATTAAAAAGTCTCAGAACCCAAGTCGAGATAACATCAAAAGGATTTCTTACAACGTGAATGAACTTCATGGGAATCCCAACGGTTTTGTTGATTTCTTTTAGAGTATGAAACTTGTGCGGTTTTTCAAATAGTTCCATGGTAGTTCCACCTCCTTTTTTGTCACCAATAACCTAAAGTAATTAAACTATTTCATTAATTGTACGTTTCAGTCAAATCCACGTGTAGTCAAACCTACATTTTTTGAAGACTGCACAAAAATATAGGTTCTTGTATTTTGGTGTAGTTATTGGCAATTAAGGCTTTAAAGTAGAATTAATTTCTATGAACAAGGTGATATAGTTGTTGATTACTAGAAAAAGAGAGAGATTTGGGTTTGGTCATCAAACATAGCGTATTCATTATTCATCAGCTGCATTGTATAAAATAAGCCAACTAAACTGATACAGAATCTATTTCAGGCGTTATCTCTACAGCAAGAGCTTTATAATACAAAACGAAATAAAATAAATAAATAATCGACACATAAGAATCTGTTTATCTTGCTTGGCTTAACAGGTTCTTATATTTTTTGGAATCAATTTTTCGCCAGATGGTTCTTGAACCACTTGGCTCTTACACGCGGGTTTTTTTTTTGTATGTCTTGAAAATACCTCTAGTTAATGATATTTCGTAACTTATAAAAACAAGACTTTTTATCAAAACTGGAAAAAAGGTAAAAAATAAAAGCATTTGTGCTTACTTTAATTTTGCCGCTGAAAGTTCCCTGCCATGCACCTGGTACATTGTAAGAATAGATTCCATCATCAAGGAAAACAGGTTTCTTTGCTCGATTGCCAAAAACGGCTTGCCAAGTTGAAAGTGAGTGAAGATTATAGAAGAGAAGGTATTTTTGCATGCCAGTATTTATAAGTGCTTCGTCCTGGTAAATACTCCATCGATTAACTATGTGATATTCATGTGGAATTACTATGTGTGGATGTGCGTCCAAGATTGCTCCCATAAGGCTGTGCGAACTTCTCGGATATCCAATGAACATAAGGAAGGTTTCCACTCCTTCGTAAAGCTCATAAAGCTTGAGTTCATTATCTGGAAGGCTTCCAGGAATGCAGTTATGGTTCAATGTTACTGAGCAGACCGAAAGGTTACATGTGATGTTTGGGAGAATAATAGAAATTTTGAGTGGTGTAAACAAATAAATAAATTAGCAATTAATGAATTAGGCTGAGTAGGATATGAAGAATTAAGCAGATCGAGGAGGGTGTTATCCACCAAGGCCTTCGATGTCCGCCATTTTTTTTTTCACAACCAAAACAACTCAACCTCGTCCCCAGGTCTTCTCGGTAACGGTGCCTTAACCTGTAGTGGGCTGCATTTTTGACGTCATTTCCTCGTTAAACACAAAATTCTTTCAAATTTGGTCATCAGTAACTGGTTATGGTGATTTATGCGTTTGCTTTTAGCCAATCAGAATTGGGGAAATATTATGAATGAATAATAATAATTGTCATTAATTAGTGGCAATTAATTACAATCCGATGAAATTTTTAAAGCCCGATCCTTCGTAAATACTGCGTTTGTAGTTTGTTTTGTGTCGTTTCCACTGCACGAAAAATTGGATTTACACCAAATTTACTCAGTGTAAATTTGGTGCAAAAAAATTCAAACTAAGGTTAAATAAAGAGCAAAGATGGTAAACTGGAAAGCAAATGCGGTATTTACCATCCATCTTTGCTTTTAATTTCCCCCTAGTTTGCACTTTTTTGCAACATATATTTGCACGGAGTAGATTTGTGTAAATCCAATTTTTCGTGCAGTGTTTATTCCTTTTTATTAAGTGGCTTACCTGCATCTGAGATATTCGAAGGAGAATTAGTAGAAAACGAAGGAGCCGTCCACTCAACATCTTCATGATCTTGGATCCAAGGATAAATGGCCGTAAGCAAGAGTATCGCAGAACCAACACACGTGAGCATGCATTTTCCAGACTTAAACTTTATCATTTTAATCAGAATCCCTCGTCATCATATTTTTCGTGAGACAACTGTAGTTTTGACCAGCGGCTTGCTGTAAAAAGAGAGAAAAAGTAGAACACTTTGTCTGCTTTGACTATCTGTCTGGATATACGTGTAGGTTAGAGATAAATGTCAGGCGCATTTGATCATATTCACATGTTAATTTAGCACCAAACAAGCAGTAAACTATCAATTTTATTACGATTATTACTGGTGTTGTTACTTCTGGCCCGTAATGTTCACCTATATATGCATACTTGGTTAAAAAGTAGGTCTTAAGTTAGATATTGGTGCGAGTGCTTTAAATGAGCAACGTGCATCAGCAAGTAAACCGCGGAAGCAAGCCTTTACAACTGCAAGTTACTTTAGGTTTGAAATGCTCTGAAAAGATCAAGACCAAAAAAATAACTGAGGAGGAAGGAAGTCATTTACTGCCTTAATAATCTCAGAATTGTCAGAAAGCGCTTATTCGTTTGCTTTGCAGTCCTCGACGTTTCGAGACGAAAGGGCTCAAATCAGCTTTATCCAAGACATTCGACTAAAGGGCTTACGACAATGGATCAAGCGCACATCAGAAACCTACAACTGAAACCGCTCGTCAATGAACTGAATAAAAACTGTAATAAAATAATCATACATGTGGCATAACACTCACCTCTTCGTGAACGAAATGAACGAAAGCAGCAAAGCTCACAGAGTGGCAAACTTAGAATGTCGCTAGGCGACTCAAAGTAATTATAAAACATGAAGTGGATATTATACAATAATGGAATATGGTCCGAATTCAAATTGACATCAAAATTAAATTCTTTTTATTGGTGGAAATAATTTTGCTATGAACGGAGTACTTACGCTAAAAGTTTATTTCAATAGAATACATTCTTTAAAGCCTATTAGAAGCCTGTCTTATCGAAAACAATAAAACAAAAAGATGAAAAAAATAAAGCCGATTGCTACAAACAAAGTCCTTTTCCTTTTTTTTTTGTTGTTCACTTAGCGTGCCAGGTACGAGATATTTTTTTGAAACATTTTCGAACTGTACGGCTTAATACTAGATTCAAAATTAAAGAAGAAAGTATTTTTTGAAGGGGAGGGGGGAGGGGGGTGGAATGCATACGTCTTTTGATCTTCACATAGGTTCCATGGTTTCTTGGTTTTGCGAACCCATGGGTGCAATCATCAAATAACCTAATACATAAGTTTGAAAAGACGCTTTACAAACAAAACGAACCAACAATGGCGTCTGCAATACCAAGAAACACCGATATTTTACCACTAACAACTGGTTGTGGCTTTTTCGTGCTGAGATGTAAACAATCGGCTCTTTTTTTATGTTGGCGAGTCTTTGAACTAAATCGCAAAATATTATTCCATCGGAATATCAGGCGCAACTGGGCGAGAACGAATTTGTAATAAAAGGGTTAAGTTACATCACAGCATTATTTTCTGAGTTTGCTATGCGTCTTAAACTACAACCTGCAGGCTGGGCAAAATCATCATCACCATATAACAAATATAAATACATCCTTATTACTAAGCATTCACAAGTGTTTTGAAGACACGTCAATCTACAAATTTACTAATAAGCAGAGTTGAAAAAAAGGAAAAGAAAAAATTGCGAGCAGCCTTTTTCCAACTTTACCTGTCTTGAGTGCAATTTCCTTTTAATCTTTTTGGGTTTTGCTCCTCTGTTCTTCTGTTGGGTTCTTGTAGATTCTCTTGTTTTCTTTAACAGGTTGATGTATTATAGTTATTGTCGGGTGATATTTTATTCAATCATGTGATCGCCGTTCAAGTACCGCGGATGAAATAGCTCAAAATAGCCGCAACTAGAGAGCCACTCTCTTCAGTGTTTATGTAATAATTTATTTTCAAAACGAATAAGGGTAAATTAACGGAATGAAATGAAAATGAATTAAAGCTTCAAAATTAGTAACACTGAAAGTAAGATTATTTCTTTGTTCTTGATGTGACTTTTAAACAGTGTCAATATTTGAACCTTTTCGCTAGTAAAGCATGTAATATCGAAGGTTTAAAAAAGAACAAAAAGTAAAACAAAGGAAAATTCAGCTTTTATTCAAATTAAATTATTACATTCAGTGTAGGATTTCTTTTGAATGGAAAGAAAATACTGTTTAATGTCGATACACAAGTGACGTCAGTCAGAGAAGGGAAATAATTTTAGAGTCACTTTTACACGAATGTTATAAAGCTTTGGGTGAGAAAAAAATACTCTGTCTTGAACATAGTTTTAACATGCTTTCGTGCAAAGTTCCAAACGGATAGCAAATTTTCGCATCCTTTTCATGATCGTTGTGAGCAGTACTGAATGAGCGATCAAATTTCGGCCAAATTGTCAAGCAAACTCTTTCTTTTAGGCACAATGGCTTCTGTCCCTGTAAAAGACACAAAGAACAGATGATAAATTTTTAACCGAAAAGACAAACGGGACCATGAGATCAAGTAATAAGCCCTTAACAAAAATGAACAAAAGGAAAAATGAGGTGATAAGTGGTATATATATTAACTTAAACACCTGAATTTACTCGATCTCGCGGCCGTAACCAAACTTCTAAGGCAACTGCAGGCTTATGGTTATTTGAAGGTGAATAAAACAGATATGGACTTTTAAGTGCGTCTTTCGCGTATATGTACTTGTATTAGTACATTTATGCACTTTCATCTGAGGACTTGAGACTTGGGCCGGATCTACATTTATCAGGCGCTTACGGCGCATGACAATCCTCTTTCCCACCTCAAATTCAAAATTGAATCCTTGTACCCACATTGTTACCGAAGTTTCGATATTGTACAAGGTTGGGGGAGGGAGGGATGCAAGGTATATTTTTCAAAGAAAGTGCTGCTTTCAAAGCAAAAGGCATCCCAAAATTACAGGTTTAGATTTGCAGCACTGTCCCAAGAATAAACTATTTGATAAGCAAAAGGACAGAATCCAACAATTCCTATCAGAGGATTGCACTTGAATCTGTGAGACTGTTGAAGTTAACAGATCGTCTTCATCACTCGGTAACGTCGGGAAAGTCACACGAGAGGTCAGACAAAAAATGTGCATCAGTTGTTGTGTTATTGGCTAACACTAAGGCAACTGGAACACTACATTTGAAAGAACTAACAAAACTACACAGGTCCACTTATAGCATTCTGAGGCTACTATGTAAGCAAAAACGATCATAGTTTTAACACTGTGCTTACCTAACCTGTGGCATTTCATTTCATCTCGTCTTTCACGATAAATTGTCATTACAATATGCATGCAATGCTATTTCCTGTTTTCAAGATAACGATTATACTGTTAGTTTAGAAAAAAAAAGTGAACATTAGAACCAAAGATATCTTTCTTCGTTTATAAGTGCTTTATTACTTTCTCGCCTTTGTCTGAACGATCATGATACCCAATGGTTATACAAGTATATATAGTTGTAGAATAGAGTCTATAAGGGTGTTAGTATACATTTAAACACCATATACTCTTCACTTGATGCAATCAACATTTAGCCCGTAGATCACGAAGGCCTATCACACATAACTTTCGACTTTCTTTTAGTTCTTCTCTCCACACTTTTTCTTTTTCTTTTTTTTTTTTAAGTTTTATTAACATTATTTTCTATCCTTAAATCTGTTGTGTGAAAAAATATAAATAAATATATAACTTTGAACGTATGAAGATTTAGGATTTTTGCGATATTTCAAAAGAGCAAGAACAACAATAATGCTACCTTGGCAAAAAAAAAAATAGTGAGTTACTGCCTATGCTGCATCTGCTGTAAACCATTAATAAATTCTTGGGTTCTATTCAACCTGCAGTCGGCAGGAAATATCAGTGTTAATATCTTAAAAACTTGAGCTTTTCGATTGAGAGGAAATCCTTGTGATTGGTGAGAAGCAATTTTCGTCTTGCTGTTTTGTACAAAAGTTTTCACCGCGTTCTTTCAGAATAACGAAAAAAATCTGTTGTCACCAGTTCATCTTTTTTGATGCGGAATTGTCCTATGCAAATGTTTACGTAAGCAAAGGCCGTGGATATAGCTCAGATATAAAAAAGGTGCTTATTGCGGAGATTCATTGACCCTATTCTGACGGAGAGGCTTTTGGAACCCTCCCTCGGCCTCACGGAAAAGTCGAATAATTTCATAACCGTTCAAGCTATGACCCCAAGCTTAGCGAATTGTCCTAAAAATTATCTGGGAACAGTTTAGAGTCGTCGTGACGTGTTCGTCAACATAAACGTTACCATGGCAACCGAGTTTTGACAGCCATGTTTTTCAAAATTTACATTTTTGCGAGCTTGTAATCTAACACAGGCTTTTTAGTGACCAATTTGTGCAAAAACAGGAATTTGAATTTATCAAACTGCAGATGCCTAGTTAAGTTTTGCACAATGTTCATTTTTCTAAGAATTTCATAACTTGCCGATTTTTTTGCTTCCTCAATATCCTTTAATACATCAACTTGTCTATCAAGATTACCTTCATTAATACGGTTTCTAAATGAAATGGAATACATTTCAGCAATACAAAATAGTGGATCCAAGATGGCAGATAGTTTCAGTTCGTTAATTACGTAATGAATGACGTCATCATAACGTCACTGTTCATTAATATCTTAGCTAATTTCTTCATATCATTGGACACCTTAATTTGTTAGTGTTTTTTTCGCCTTACGGCTACTCCGAGGGGATTAATTGAACAATATGATGTAATGATGGCATCAAATTACGCCATTGTTTCAATAAAATGGAAATGAGTATATTATTCCCGCCGATCACCGGAAGCAGAAGCCAAAACAGCCCGTTCTGAATAGGGTTAAAGGTAATTATGATACCGCTCCTTGCAACACAATTGAAAGATGTGTTATTTAAGCATGACAATAATACAGATAATAATACTCATTTTCAACCAAAAAGATAAATAATTAGGCGTTTTCTATTATGTTCTTCGAGAAACGGCCCGTTTTCAGCCAGTATCATCATTTGCTGTTACCTGGAGTAAATAATCTGAACACATTTTTACCGACTGTTTGACAACCATAGCCGAATTAAGCATAGAGATACGGATTGGACAAAGTTTATGAAAAGGAGACTTCCTTTTCACGTCCCCTGCACCAATCACTAACTAATGCATTGAGCAAAGCAAGGCGTTTTGAAATTATCATAAGTCGCATTCTGTTTTCAGTGTCCTTCTGGTTATGAACTTGATGAGAGTCATCTGTATTCGCAGGGTAGCCTAAAAGTAACTGTAATATATATGTTGCCAGTGACAGAAACGTAAGAAGTATGTTTTTGTTGGCTTCCCTCTCAAAAATGGTTTGAAGTAACCATTTGTTACAATGTCATTGTTTGATCATGTATAAAATTTTCTTAGATGTTAAAAGAACTGCGGTTAATTTTACTTTCACGGGGTAAGTCTTGATGCTTAAATAAGTAGTTTTTGATTGTCGATAGCCTGGCATATCGTGTCTTGCAGCTCTTTTACTTTATACGGTAAATTATTAAATTCAGTTTTAAGGACGTTATAAGCAACAGGCTTTGAAGCAATATTGTTCAGCTCAGTAATGTCATAACTTGGACCCAAACCAACAGAAATGACTGCCACTCCAGACTTGTGCAGAGCCTCTGCCGATTTTTGGACGTTATCTTTTGATGCACCTTTTGAAAGAACAACTAGAACTCTTGGGACATTAATTCGACTTCCGCTATCGAAAAGCTTCTGATTGGCTAGCGTTAATGCTTTTCCTGTCATGGTAAATGTCCCGGGGTAAGGAATGTTCTCGATGGCAAAGGCCAGACTAGTTGGTGTGGTATATTTGTTGAAAGGGATAACCAGTTGGGGCTCTGTTCCATACGTTATGACCCCAACGCGGGTGTCTTCAGGGGAGAATCCCACGGAAACATTTTTAACGAAGTCCAGCATTTTCTTGAAATTTCCTTTTCCAAGAACCTCGACACTTCTTGAGCCATCGATAACAAATCCAAGGTCAGAAGGACACTTTCGCTGAGTAGAGAAGCGAGCTGCAAGCAAACACGCCGAATGTCGTCAATTAGTTTTAAGGAAAGCCATTTATAGTTTAGTCAAAAGGAGCTGAAAGCTACAGCAGTTAGCTTTCTTATATTAATGATTAATGCTAAGCGGTAAATGTGCCCGTAGCTACTCATTGTAATGAGGCAATTAAAATCTAGATAAGGTGGGTTATGTGTTAGTGAATCGCTGTCCTTTGTTACGCGAACGTGAGCGACATAATCTGTTAGGCACAAAGTAGTTGAATGATTTGATGTAATGTATGATACTGCAGTAAAACCAAACAGATGGTGGTGGGTATTAACGAAAACTTATTAGGGCGCTTGCTTCCTTGATCAATTCTTCGTTTCAGAGTTTCTACAATTGGTACCTTGCGTTGCTCACTCTTTACATAACATAACATACTCTTGCATATAAAACACGCATCAGCAAAATGAACTGGAGGAAATTTAAAATATATAAAGATCATGATGCTGTGCACGTCTAGAATACAAATGTCTAACTCAGTTTATATTAATACTGCTTCTCTTTAAGTGAATTTTCCTTAATTTATATTAGTTACCCTTTTGTTCGTTTTTACCATTTTCCTTGCTCAGTATTTACTACTATCGGATCCATTAGAGCTCATTAGCCTAGCTTTTCCGCCCTATCGTCATCATCATCATCATCATCACCGTTATTATTATCATTACTATTGTTATGTATGTTGTTTTTGTTTCTTTTGAGAATTTTCTTTTCCAAGTTTAAGTGCGTTTTTGTACTTTTTTCCCTGAAAAAGCACCGGCTGTTATCAACTATACGCTAAATGGCGTGAACAAAAAAAATGCAAGACAGTATTTAGGCCAATTTCATGAAACAACAGTGTGATTTAATTGACTGCACTGTCCTGACGAACTTTCTTCTTTTAGCAGATCTGGACGAAGAATATGTAGATGCCGGATGAAGTTATCTTCTAGACCCAGAGAGCTGTTCACAGGATACCAAACGTTCGAACTTTCAATAGACTGAATTCACTGTCCTTGCTTCGGCGTGCACGGGTGTTAATACAGAAATTTTTACTAAAAAAAAAAAACTGGTAAGGGGCGTTTGAAATGATCGTAGCCTGTCAAAAGCCTCTATTTGAGGACATAGTAAGGGCATTAATAATCAGGTAAATGGCCTGTCAGCAATTCGAATTGACAAGTCTGCACTTTGATATTTCTACTTGTTATTGATTGATCGGTTGATTAATCGATTGGTTGACTGGTCATCATTTACTGTTTATTTATATATTTTTCAACCCTACTTGCTCCAGTAAGGAGCCTATTTACATGCATTTTGAATTGAACATTAGATCGTGATGTGGTTGCCAATGCTGTTATCGACTTAACAAACAACTTACTTTCTCTATTTGCTGCCAAACATATCTCCTTTTGAATTCTTCCTATCAGCGCATCAGCATCGTTAAGTGGCGCCAAAAACACATGATTCTCCTTTGGGTCGGATGCAATTAAGTCAAGTTGTGCTTCATTTACATCTTTGCCCACACCTAGACAGAAAACTTCAATACCCCGCCTTTTCAGTTCCAATGCAGGACGACTCACGTCATCAAAAGATGCACCATCTGTAACAAGCAGCAATATATTGCGATTAAACATAGAAAGCTGACTGAAGAGTTCTTGCTGTGCCATCGACAGAGCTTTCCCAATTTTCATCTCAACGCTCGGCTTGCTTGCATTTTCAATAGCTTCATCCATGGTCTTTTGATCCAGAAATTTGTCGAAGTGGACCACTGAAGGTTGTGGTGAACCACCATACACTACCATGCCAACGCTATTCTCAGCTGGGGATGAGGCAAACAGATGAGAAACCTTCTTGGCTAAATTCGTCATCATTGTAGCTTGATTTAGGTCTTGGCCATTAACAGTTGCAGTGCTATCGAGGACCACTCCGAGGTTAACTCCAGAGCATTCTGAAAGATATTCCGTCAGGGAAACTATGTATCAAACAAGTCAATCACTGAGAGGAATGAATTTTAATTCTAAAGGGGACAGACCATAAACGACTGTTCCTCCGGAAAATATCTGTCATAATTGGTAATAACAGTTTCTGTTTTTAAAAGTTTAATATAAGAGTATTGACGCTATGTCACCAAACCGATCATAGATAGCCTGAGATAGGAACCGTCTGTCCCAGCCAGAGTCCCAAGTTAGCTATTTGAGCAGAGTGCGATGTTTCACCACAAATAGGACTTTATTCGGTTCCTGGGATTACTAATATCAACAACAGGAAATTACACTGTTTTGGCCCTAATCAATTAAGCTAGCCAAATACGTTTAACTGCAACCCTCTCAAACCTATATCGACTTTGCACTGAGAAAATTTTAATGTGGGTAAAAACAGTTATCTCTGAGCAGTCGGTTAGATTCAGATCTAACCGCAATGACATGGTGAGGCGAACGCAACAAAGCCCCTAAGAAAAGTTATATTTTCTGGGTTTTTTTTTGTATATATTTTTTGTTTGTTTTGTTTTGTTTCTAAATGTTATTTGCAGAAACTAATCTCACCTTGTCGGTTTTGTTCTTGTGGGTAAGAATTGACGTACTCCGTAGGTTTCCCCACAGCAATAACCTTGGTTGGCCTTCTGTAATCTGATGTCAAATCGCCTTGTTTAGCTGTGGGGTTTCGTTGCTGCTGTAGAGGCCTTCCATAAACATTGTCAGCGGGATAGATAGAAGCGGTAGAGTTAACAAGTAATCCAGGACCTCGAGCTTGATTTACAACCGAAGACTGCGAAAAAGTATCATCTTGTTTCGGACTTGGTTTCTGATAAAGAAAATTTGATTCAACAGGATGTTCACCGTATGCCTCTTGGTTTGGTAGTTTGTCTGCGCCATCATTAACATGGGGTTTGTAGTGTTCAGGGAGGCCGGCAGCAAAACGATGCATCTGAGGTCCATCCATATGATTCTGCTCATGATTTGAAAAGTCGGTTTTAAAATGTTTGTTTTTACCGTTGTTTAAATCAGGGAGAATTAAATTGTCATCTGCGCCGATTGAGTGCTCATTAGTAACAGGCGACTGTCGCAGTCGATTACCAAACGGTCTGGCCATTTGAACACCAGGATCTTGTGATGTTTCTAAGGCATGGTCTTGATTTTCACCTTGTATGTCTTTACTGTATTCAACCCCTGTCAGGCGAAATCCATGGCCAATGGCGGGCTTGAGGTTATTGTTATTACCTTGTTGGCCAAAGTTTTTATTAAATGGACGGTTATCACTTCCAGGAGTAGCCGCACTTAAACCAACTTCAACGATCTTAAAGTCCTTGTTACTGCTATTAGGAAGCTGAAAACCTTGGCTCAGCTTATTTTGGTAAAGTGGAACTCTCATAGTTTTCAAGTCTCTCTGATCTTGGGGATATGACGAACCATGCTTTTGCTGGGTACTCTGCCTCTCGTCATTAGTATCCTTGTCTACAGGCACTTTAGTGTAATCGTTCGATTGAGCACCCTGAGCACTGAACGTTTCACAGGTGCATGGCTCCTGTCTGTCCCGCACAATTCCCATTACGTCTAGTAGGAATTAAGAAAAATAGACTTAACTTTTGTTTAAATCCTGGACTTTTAAAAGAAAAGTGACAGACTTAGTCTGAAACGCCATCCTCCGCAACGAATGGCAAGGCGATTGGGGGAGGGCTTTTCATGGGACGAACCAAACTTAGTGAGTTAAGTTCATGAAAAGTTCGACGTCTGGCTCAGTTACGTTCGTCTGAAAGAGTTTTGATCGTCCAACACGTTCTATCCCTCTGCTTCAGACCGGTAGAACGTTTGAAGATCGTCTCCGAGACAAACGCCTATCCTCACATGCGACGAACTAAACTAATACACTTCTAATTATCGCATAAAAACTTTGGTATAGTTGTTATGTAAAGACGAATGTTAACCTTTGCTTGGTGACATCGGAGGGGCTGTGTTTCTAGACTATTTGGGTTGCAGATGAAGATTAAGCACAAGAAGCGATGCCGCTGTATAAAAAGGGCAAACAGTAAACAGGTGGTATTTTGCTGGAAACATGTTTTTGTTTTCTCATGGAGACCGTTGTGTACTCTATATCTAGTGAATAGCTGAGATTACCTCTACAGACGCCTTGTATAATCTCATCCATAGCGTTGGGCAGTGTGTCCAAAAATGCCGTAAACACGTGTTCTGATTTGGGTTCTGATGCAACGGTTATCAGTTCTCTAACATTAGCTTGTTTCCCTAAACCAATAGTCGTGACCTTAACCCCAGAATCCCGCAGTTCTGCGCCTGGTGCCACAACATCATCAGCAGACCCTCCACTAGACAAAAGTATCAAGGCCCTTGGTGCATCCTGGCGACCAGACATTGCAAAGAGCCCTGTTTTCAGTTTTGAAAGAGCTTTTCCTGTGTGCGCTCTTCCACCTATGTATGGAGCAATGCTTACGGAATCATCGAACTGCTTGAAATCAGAAAGAGCTTTGAGGTCAAAAGCTGTTTTGACATCATCTCCATAAGCCATCATTCCAACATGAATATTGCTCTTGTCAAATCCGCGGGAAAAGATCTTGATGAATTCGAGAACACGTGCATAGTAGGGTTGAGGGATGTTAGCTGATCCGTCAACCAGAAAGGCAATGTCAGCTTTTGCGGAACATTCTGTGTAGAAATTAAGTTAAAGAGTGATTTTGTTAAATAGTTTTTAAATTAACGAAAATAGCGATCGAACAACATCGAGTGACAAAGGTCGAAATAAAAATTTCATTTTGCGTATAATATTTTCAATTTTAATTTTAAGTAACAAAATTTCATTTTAGTCTTTGATTTGACGAGTCCCATTGTTTGGGGATTCCTTTGAATTTGATAGCTGAAATTTTGCTTTTATTCATGGTGCTAAATATAGGAGTTATGGCCCAGCTATATATGACTCACCAAATTTATGGTAATAAAATCGATCTATCAGTAGCACTAGGTTTTTCACTGTAAATAAGCCCCTTTAAAATATATTCTGATCTAGTGGTGTTTATGAAAAGCCATTTCTCCTGCAAGTTACCCATCACCTTTCTTTGGACATAGACAATCTTCGGCAGGCTCTGTATTGTAGTAGTCTGATGTCAGTCCAACCTGGCCTTGACCTTCTTCTTGGTCTGGAAATCGCTCTTGAATTGCCGCTTCATTTTGTTTTTGTTGTCTGGGTGTATCCCTTACATTTTCACCCGTATACGCTTGTGGTGAGCCCATATCATCATATCCAATTTCTGAGCTCTCATCAGGGCCAGCCTGGTTTCCGGGGTTTTGTTGTTGAAAAACACTTTGATCGGCTCTCTGAGACATTTCGCTTATTCCTTGTATTGCCTCATTATCATACACAGGACCCGGTGACTGGGGCTGACTTTGCATCGAATTGCTTTCATCTGGACCGGAAAACTCTCCGTTGGGAGTTGGCCCATAATCTTCACCATTCATTGCACCAGATTTGTTCAAGTCAACTATTGGTACTGGTTCTCCTTCTTCCTGTGACGGCTGCCCCTCATGTTTGTCATTCTTTACACCTTCCGGTAAGTTCTGCGAACTTGGTTTCTCATTTGAAGATGACATTTTGTCAGAGCTGTGAACGTTCTGGGTACTCTCTTGTTGTGACATTGATTCACCGTCTTGCTTTTGGTTTGGAGACGTTTGTGCTGGTTGTGGGCTGTGGTTGTCAACCGGCTTCCCTCCATCTGTCGACAAAGCGTCTGCTTTATTTGGAGAATGTGTGGAGTCATCAACTTTATTTCCTTGTTGAGATACTGGCCCTTGGACCTGGATCTTCGTCGAAGATGCTCTTTCTTTTTCTCGCCCTTCATCGTGTCTTTCTTCCTCGGATGCCTTTGGCTGTGATTCTTCACTGCCGTCTGAAGTGTCTTTGTTATAGTGTTTATCAGACGGCTGGTCTCCTTTAAGGTTTAAGGATTGTTTTCCAAGCGAAGTTTGCTGAGCTTTGTTGGCAGTTTTGCTGCCCTCTTGGCCTTGTATGTCTGCGGCTTTTTGTTCAACGTTTACAGGAGCGTGGTCTGAACCTTGAACTGCGGTCTTAAAGTTTTCCTTAGCTGTTCCTTTCGGCTGTTGTTCCTGATCTTCGACTACCTGCGGTTGATTACCGAAATCTTGACGCGTTTTGTTTAACTGTTTTTCTATGTTTGTCCCTTTACTAGTCATTTGTATCTCAACATTACGTGCATCATCTAACCCACTCTCAAACTTGCTAGAATGTTGAGATCCATCCGGCTCATTATCCGTTGAAATTTTCCCCTGAAATTCAGGACCTGTTACCCTTAACGATTCACCTACTTTACTAAATCCTTTTTGAGTTTGGTTTTGTCCTTCATTAGTTATTTTCCTTGACTTTTCGTCATGAAATTTCCCACTTGGATTTGACGTCATTGACTCCTCGTCAGTTCTGTTTTCAGATTGCTTATCATCCTCCTCATTTGACCCTTTATAATTACTGCTGTTATGGATTCTGTTATCTTCATTGGGGGAGTTTTCACTGGTGATACCTTCCCCTGAACTTGACATTTGCGAAGAACTTATACCAGCCTCGACGTCATCATTACCATGGACAGCATCGGGCTTTGGATAAGCTGTTGAAGACGAATGCATGCCATTTCGGAGTGGTGGCTTTTTGTTTGCCATTTGATGTGTGGGGACTTGGGCAGAATTCTCTTGGTCTCTGCCGTCCATAAATGGCTTTTGGCTTTCCTGCAAATGTTTTGCCTGTTCTACATTCGATCCTGATTTTGAGTTTTGAAAGGTTGCCACTTGTTTAAACGCGTCAATGTCTTCTCTGGACATTGATATATACTTCCCTTGTTGCATCTTAACCTGATCACCATCTTGGTTAGAGCTGGATTGTTGATTTCCGCTAGTTTCCTGGTTCATATCTTGGTTATTTTTGTTAGGCATGGATACGTATTCGCCTTTGTCGTTATTGGGTTGAATGTTGTTATTGCTTTCGACAGATGTTGGCTTTATGTTCACTGGAAGTTCCAAATGTTGACCATTCGTTGGTAGTGGAAAAGAAGGAGTGGCTGCCACCAGCGGCTGTGATTGTTTTTCGTCTCGTTTTGTTGACTCTAAGGGAAGATCTCTAGATTCAGGTTTTCCAACACCAAATGTAACTGAAAATGAAATAGGGAAATTAAATAGGTCGAGTTAATAAGTTGCCGCTTTTTACTTGTCTGCATTGCCATCACTACAAAAGTTATTGTGACCAGTAAACTATTTAAATTGGAAGTTTAAGTACGGTCAGTGTTCATCTAATTTAATATAATGATAAACACAATTGGTAAGATTCTAGCAAGCCAAGGATATTGATTGATTTATTTATTTATACAACTAAGAATTCAGACAATGTTGGGTCAGCCGGAAGTTGATATGCTCCTTACTTTTGCATGATTGAACGTTGCAGTCTTGGCTTTCTACGCTTGGACCCAAGCTTCTGCAGTCGAGCCCTCCATTTGATGGAGGAGGATTTGAACATTTACGCACGCGCCGCCTGACACCTCCTGTGCATGTTCTGCTGCATGTTCCCCATGACGACCACTGACCATACGCACCATTGACAGCATCACGCTTGTTTAGAAACCTGAAAACACAATTGGCAACCGAATGAATACCAGATCGTTGTCGGTAATGTAAATCTAGCCAATCTTTTTGAAAACCAACCTAACGAAATTTGCCGCCTTCGAGTGACAAGCCGTCAAAAAGCAGGTTTATTAGGCCCGATATTCTCCAAAATCACACTTAAGAAGAAAAAGGAAACGAGAAAAAGAAAGATCGAGGAGAAAGAAAGTGAGGAGAAGAAAAATAAAGCCAATGGTTTCACTCTTAGTTTTTATAATGGCTACTATGAGGATAGTTTTTGGCCAAAAAATACCGTTGGACAGAAAAGGTCCATTTGGCGGTAACGTTTTCAAAAATCCGCCTAAAAATACAAAGACAAAAACACTGACTGTTCAACTATCTCTATAAGTCGCAAAACCTCCCAAAAAACTGTTGCCTAGAGTTCAGATCTCTGCCAATTTTTTTTCAGTGTCTCATTATAGCTGTGGTAAGGCAGACACCTCCGCTAAGATGACAGTTTTTGGCTGTTTCAACAGTGTATGTCTGAGGGAGAATTCACGGCTGCAACATGCAGATGGTAATAAAACAGCCTCGTCCCCAGGGCTTTTCTCTTATAGGTTGATACGAATAATTATGAAATGATAAAATTTGCCAGCGCCCCTTGGGAAAGATACTTACCGATAGACTTGTAAACTCCATGGACCACCTTTACCATCCCCTGAAACAAGGCGGCGAAGAACGTTATTTCATAACTTGCTTTGAAAGCGACTCGAAGTTGCGTCTTATCCTCAGAACTTATTATAACATAAGGGCTAACCAAAACAGCTGCCACTATATATCCTTAAAATATAGCTTAAAAAGGTACGATTTTCAAGCCGTTTTTACCTTTGCATTCTTTCGAAGCTCCATACTTGTGATAACCTTTATCTTCATCGGCACTGGCAAAACACTGTCCGCCATTCTCAATACCGAACAAATTATAGCCTTTGTCTAAGGCTGCTCTTGCGCACTTAAATAGGGCATGTCGTCTACCTTTGTAGTTTGGATCCATTAGTAAATAGTGCTCTCCTTCTAGCGTGGGCAGGCTACGCGACCATGCATCTCGCCAACAACCAAGACTCTCAAACCCTATAAAGGACATGGGATGCATTTTGTCAAAGGAGCACTTGAATCATTATAACGGATTTGATATCCTTTGGCAACGCTCGACAATTTTAGTTTTGATGAAATTTGTATTAATCATTCTTAGTTTAACTGGTTTGTCGGAACTCGCACGATGTAAAAAAATTCTGATCCAAGTTTTCATTAGAACTATGATGATATACTAACTGAAGATGCACACATGTGGGAGGCAAGAAAGACATGAATGTATTCTTCAAGTGTGCTTCTTAGAAAGTGGTTTCTAATTATATAACTTGTCCTAGCTATAGATAACTACAGTCGAACCTTGCCCACCCCCCTGGGAAAGAAAAAGTAGCGACCATGTATATATCGGTTGGTCGCTTAAAAAGTGGTAACAGAGGTGTTAGCGTTTATTAGAGATTCAACTGTAAACTAACAGTTGTTAACTTCTTATCCATTTATTTCCAACCCGCCGTCACCCAAGGACCCTCATTTTTAATCTAAGTGTGGTAGGGTAGGCCAGTCTCAAGAGATTCCATTACTACGAACACTTTCGTTGGATTTTCATAAGGTTACAGTCGACTCTCTCTTAACGGACACCTCTATAACACGGACACCTCGCTTAAACGGACACTGAGTTGGTCCTATCCTTTCCTTTCTCCCCTTTGTGTGACTCTCTATAAGATGGACATTTAGTGCCAATCCCAAAGGTGTCCGTCTTAGAAAGCAGAGCTGACTGTATGTCTCGGCAAAAGTGGCCTCTTTTGATTTTGTTGACAGTCACCTTCAAATGTATTTTATAAGTATTTAGCACATGCTTAAATTTCACCTACTTTGGCCACCTATTTCCAGCTCTCCTGTGATTTGCTGTCTTTTCTCTAGCTTTTCAAACTCTTGATCCTCTTTGGTTTTGCGTTAGAGAAAGAAATAAGAAAAGCGTTAATCATGATCATTGGAAATGAGTTATTTTCCTTAATTCCAAAATTTATTAATAGCATTATCAGGAAAAAGCTGGTGATAAAATTTGTTAAAATAAACTCTTCTCCTTACTGTGTACATCCCGCCGAGTTTATAGTTCTAAAGCTGTGTCACAAAATATTCAGTAAGCGTCTTGTTAAGTACGTTCATGATGACGACCAAGAAGGAAAACGGTTGAAAATTTCGATTAAAATTCTCATATTAATTGGTCACACCCTTCTTAGGAAATCAGACTTTGGAATTTAGACCTTTCTTTCGGAATACATAAACCGTATCTATTCGAATAAACTCCCCTACAGATTAAGCGTCGCACCTTTGAGTTTGAAGAGATATTTTCTTCAAGCTCAAGTTTAAAAGGTCGATATTTTTTCTCCTTACTTAGTTACAGAGAGATTACTGGTTTGACAGATGGTCGCTATGGACTAAAGTCACATGCAGCGTGAACAGAACATGCAGAAGTGTTTCATGATGGTGGATTTTTAAGCAGCCGTGAACTCTTGAGGGATTATTTCTGTATGATCATACAGTTGGACATCAATTTTCGGGATTTAAAATTAGCGGTTCCAATAAACTCATAAACAGATGAGGCGTGGCACACGGGCGGGAATTTATCTCTCGGCTTTCCCCTGAAATGACCCAGGAAGCAGCGGTCTACAGAGTGGTACATAGTGGCGATTTGAAAACTTTGAGGCTTGTTTTCGCCGTTTAGCTGTCGGCCCATGAGTCGCGGAGAGGGAAAAGTAACTCCGAATAAGGAGTAACATTGTGACTGGTACATATAAGGAAAGATAACGCTCAATAAAATAAATGGAGGGGACAACAGTTTATAATGCGAAAGTATTACGATTTTCTTTTGTTTAACAAAAATTGTGTTGCAAGTAATTGTATTAAAGGGATTCCTGCTCACGTACGTACTTCAGTAGAAACAAATCCTTGTATGTCTTGTACCATTTTCATCGTTGCAGTGGGTTTACCAAGCGTAGAAATTAAAGTTACAAAGGAAAGAGACTGCCTAACTTTCACCGCTATTGATATATATGGCCCGGGGTGAAAATGTGGCTCAGACCAACCAAATGAAACAGGGGACGTGTTTGTCTGAATTTTGGTTATGATTCTAACCTAGTGGTGCCGTTTATCTCCCACTGTTTGTCGCAAACAGGTTATAGTTAGTTCCAGAGATAAGAGAGACGTCAATTGAAATTGTTTCCCTGAATTAGGCAATTCAAACAACCATTTATATTTTGTGATAGATTAGTGAATATGTCTGATGGCAGCAATAAATCGTAAAACGAATATTGTTTACCTTTGCTTAATTTGCTGATGTGCCTGGTATCCACTGTGTTCCATATCACATTAATCAGGACCCAAACAATGATCCGCATGTTACAATAAGAGTAAAAACCCTCTGTAAAGGGTATAAATCTTGATGGGTGCACAAAAATCTCAGCTGCAAGACTTACTACGAAGAAATGCTAAAAACATATCAGAGAAACTAGAGGAATATAGTAAACAAATAGAACAACTTTTTCACTGCCCACAAAGTCAATAATGACCTAACGTGTACCACTTAGGGTCAAGACAGTTTTAACTGGTAGTGTTACAACTAAAACAATGAAGGCACCAAACCTAATGCGCTTTCTTCGTGGTCCCAGCTGCTACTGTGAAGCTTAGTATTTCAACGCGCTGACTCTATTCACAATAGAGTTTTTCAGAAACAGCTTTTGAAGACGTTTTCTGTTCTGACGTTCGAGAAAAGCGACTTAGACAGTTCGCCTCGTGAATAAATCAAGAAAAAGCCTTGAAATATTAATGTCGACTAACCTAACAACCGTAAAAGCAACCATGTGATTTACAAAAAGCCACAATTTCTATAGAATACTCAATTTTAATCCTTTAATTTACATCTAGAGCAATGCATCTAACCGAAATTCGTACACTCTTAAATTTTTTCCCATTATAGCAAGTCAGAGAATCCATCTTGATCTATCACAAGCAAGAAGCAACAAGTTGCGTGCAAAAATTATCGACACATGATTAAGTTCCATGATTCTTGCAATTGCAGCCTCTTTTGCCTTTTCTGCGAGGTACCATTCACGCGCTAAGGGTATCTTGGGTCGAGGTTCTTTCTGTCTTATTGAAGGACGAGGGATTTAGGGATAGCTAAGTTAAGCGCGTTCTAGGCTTTTTAAAGGTCCACAAAACACACATAGGTCACATATCGCAGGTATTAACCTGTCCAAGCCCTTTGTGTTGTGGAAGATTTTGAGAGATTGAGGGCAAGTTTGGGAACACATTTTCCAAGCGAGCTAGGCATCTTGGGAAGAGCTGCTTTGGGTTAACCTGTAACATTCCTATATCTCCTTTTAGTATATACACACTCAATGATCTTAGTGATTCAAGCAATCTGATTAGTTCGCTATCTCGGACTATGACGTTATATTCACCGCGCTAGGCGGTGAATATAAAGCAAAACAAAATCGCTGTCGTGAACTGGGTGTTTTGCCAAGTTTCGATCAGAGTAAGAACTTTTTTAAAATACAAGAAAATCCCAGAGTTGATGATTTTGAAGGTAAGAGAAGACTTCATAGTGTGTAAACAGCGTGATTTTATTGCGAAGTGATTTACTGAAGTTGACTTTCACACGCTTGAAGCAATGTTTTTATTGACCACTACAGCGGAAAAGGTGGCCGCTTTTTACTGTTTTGTGAACTCGGAATTTCCTCACAAGACCAATTTTGCCTGGAAATAGAAGTTAATTTACGGAGAAAAAAAGGAAAGCAAATATTTTCGAAAACTGTACGTGCCAGCAAGTTAACATGGCAAGGAACACTGCACTGCAGATAAACAACGCTCACCTCGATCGTAGCCGCTGTTGACAGCATTTGCAAGAAGCGACAAAAAAACTGTCTCATTCACGGTGAGTTGACAGAGGCAAATAAAGCTCTGTGTTTCTTCTC